AGCTTCCCTGTGCGAACTACTGAGGGTCTGGGGGCAGCGACTCCAGGTGAGCGTGAGGGAATCAGTTCGGACATTCTTCAGCTGCGCAGCTTCATTTTCTCTTCCTCCACTGGCTGTGGTTGGGATCCTTTTTGTTATTTAAATTACCCTGTGTTTTATTGTGTTCTGCCAGCTTTTGTGCTGTCCTGGGGCCTCTCTCCTGTCTGCCCTTGGGCCTTTCTCCCCGACTTTTCCAGGCCCAGTGGTCTGGGGGAGGGAATATCCCTGGCAGATGCTTCCCTCATCTGGTCATTGTGTTTCTGTCCTAACCAATTATCAGTAAATGACCCATTCCTGACCCAGCCCTCCTAGGAAATCACAGAGTGGGATAACTCATGAGTTTGGGGTGGGCTTGAAGTGAAGGTCGATGGTGGCAGCGCCAGATGGACATTGGTGCTGCGTTGGCACTGCAGAGATGCTCCGAGATGCATCAGCTGCTGTGTACCTGTGCGTGGTGGGTGTTGCACAGCCTCTGCTGGCAGTGGTGAGGGCCAGGTAAGTCAGAGCGTGTGCTCTTCCCTTCAGACTGCTCCTGCTGCCATGGCAGCGCGATGTGGCCACAGCCCTGGGGAAGCAGAGGTGAAACCACCCTTCCCTTGGGTAAACTGAAGGGCGTACCAGCCCCTGTGTAGGTCAGGCTGGATGTGATGATGTTCATGTGTTTCCTCGGAGAGAAAGTTGTGGTTTGCTTGTTAATTTAAAAAGCAAGAAAATTTTAGAGGCTGTTTGACACAGTCGCAGCCGGGTTCTGTGTAATCTCCCCAAATCCCTCCTCTCATTTCAGCTGGATACAGAAATGCCTGACTTCGTCTTTCACCGCTAGTCCTGTTTGGGAGGCCCATTGGGAGCTTTTGAACAGCTGCCCTGTCTCGAGGAGAGGTGCAAAGGTGGCAAAGAAAAGGAGATAAAGAGGTGCCCCTGGTGGCACAGGGATAAAGTGGTTCAGGGATGGCGAATGGAGAAAATACTTAGGCGTTCATTTATAACGGCTTGGAAATGTGAAACTGCTCTTATTCACAGCAGTTTGGGAGAGAAACAGCAGATGTTCTTTCTTCAGATATTTTTCTTTCTGCCATTGAGCAAAACTGCCCCATCTGCCTTGTCTGGGGCTGTTGCATTGGATCCTCTGCTCATCTGAACAGCGCAGCCTTCGCTGCTTGGAGTTGGCTGCGTTTGGTGAGGGGCCAGTGGGGTCAGCAACCAGCGAACTCCGTTCATCTCCGTATCCTCCCGCTGGCTCTTTCCCAGCGGCCTTGGAAAGGTAACGCTGCTATTATTCCCTGTTGTTGAAATTCCCCCATTCTGCTCCTCGTGGAGGCGAAACATCTTTTGCAAGGTCAGCGTTGCCTCTGCGGTCACCTCTGTGGGCGCTTGCAGCCAGCGCGGGAGCTCCCGTGCCGCTTTTGGTGCTCACGCTCTGCCTTTGTTCCCTCTCCTCCTACCTCTCGCACTTTCTCTCCATTCTCTCCCCTCCTCTCTCTGATCCGGGGAGGGTTTTCCCTCCCGTGCTCGCAGCCGTTTTCCCAAAGGCTGCCTGCCCTCTTTAGCATGCAGAGCCTCATCTCCTCCAGGTTACGCAGAGGTGCCGCAAAAATAGAAATGAGAGACAAACGCCCCATTGAAGCAGCTGGCAAGCCCTGGCTCCGTTCCCTGCTCCCTCCCATCTACAGTCGCAGGGCTTTATTCATTTGGGTTTCTTTATTCCTATCACTTGATCTGCCTTTTAAAATACAAAACTGGGAGGCCGATGGCTGATAGAAGTCATCTAATCCTCGTTCCCCATCCTAGGAGGAAAACAGCGAAGCACTGATGTCCTGGGTGTTCGATTTCCTCTTTTGGCCATGCTCCCCTGCCTCCCGGCTCAGCTCCTGCTTTGATTCTTTCTTTGCCTTGGAGTTGACAGCTGCGTTCAGCTCCTTTATGAGATGCTCGGAAGAGAGGGGGAAGGTGGCAAATCTTGGGTCTGCTCTTTGACACCCCAAACCTTTGGGTTTTTGCTGCTGGTGTAAATTTATGAAGCGTTGTCAGGATGCAGTCTGGGGAGGTACTGATTTGTGCACTGGTGCGATGGCGCCGTTAGCCCTGGGGCACTGGGGCTGGTGCTGGCACAGAGGGTTCTCCCAAGGCCAGACTCTGCATCTTGTGCCTATGGATCAAGCCCCAAGGTGTTGTCCTACTCCAGATCCCAGGGAAAAACCCCCAGATCCAGATCCCCCAGGAGAAACCTGGCTTGCTCAGGCTGTGTCTATCAATGACTCATCTGTAGGGATGAGGTGGTGTAGTTTTTTCATGGGCTGAGGAGAGCAGAGCTTCCCAGTAAACAGAATAATGCAGCTTAGGGGGTTTTAACTAGGTAAACACTTGAGAGTTAAATGAGGGTAAACAAACTCCTGGGATCTGAGCTTCCCGCATGGATGGGATTAGCTCTGTGGTGCTCAGGCTCACCTGCAGTGGAATGGCTGTTGTAGAGGTGTGGGGTGCGCTGAGCTCCTGAGGCAGTGCAAACAGGGTGAGGTGGTGGAAGCCAGCGTTTGAGCTGGTGCAGAGAGAGATTTTGAGGCTTTGTCTTGCTGGCTGGGGGACCCAGCATGTGTATTGTAGTGTGGCTGGAAAGCCGAGGCGCTGCGACAGCCACATCTCTGCTAATGGGAGTCAGAGGAAACTGAGGCATTGGGGTGGGTAACGGATTGATGTTGGATCCAGGCAGTCAGTTGCAGTCCCAACTGAACCAAATTTTCCTTGGACCTGCCGTGATCTCTCCCTGTCCTCGTGCTCCCCTTTTCTGGATGACTTTGAGAATGATGTTCCCTTTCTGCCCCTTGCTGCTCTCTGTCATGTTTGCTTAAGCTGTGAGGTCTTCAAGACAAATGCTCTCTGCACTGGGCCGCAGGGGCTCAGCAGTGCTCTCCGTTCGTCACGCAGGTGACTTGTGCCAGCCTGGGGAAGCCGAACCCAGGCACCATCACACCAGAGCCTGGTGAGCACTGCTGTGCCGGCACCAGGTCGGCCTGGCTGGGTCTCTCTGGATCCATGCTTGGGCACAAGAGACGTGGGTAGGAGTCCCAGGGATGCCCAGCGGTGCTTTGCTTGGCTCTGTGATGCTGCAGGAGCTTCCTTTCCTCTTGATGCTCTGCCTCTGTTGCTGCTTTCTTTTTGTTGCTGTGCTGGCCTCAGCTTTGGATCAACAGAGCAAAATAAAGGAGATGGAGAAGTGCTGAAGCCTGGCCCGAGCATATATGGGAAAGAGCAACCAATATTGGATTTTGCTCGGTTCAGAGAACAGTGGAGGCTTGGGAAATGCATTTCTGGCTTCCAGCATTCCCAGGACGGGTTTGGTAATCAGCCTGGCAAGCAAACAGCATCTCCCAAACTTCTTGCGCTAACAAGCCAACATTTTCAGTGAAAACACCGAGGCCAACCCATCTGCCATTGCCCCGCAGAGCATCTTGGCACTTGTCCTGATCTGAATTTGCCCTTCTGGGAAGTGAAGCCAGGACATTTGGTGGGAAGGAGCATCAAGAGGTTCCCCAGGCTGTGCCCTTGCCTGCAGGCAGTTCAGCTCTGCTTAAATCATTTTGGGCCACGTGTACTCAGCTCTGCGTGCAGCATCCAGGTGATGTCTCGGCGGTGCTTTGTAAAATCTCCCTATTCCTAACACTTCAGGGCTGCGCAAACGTTTTCACATCTGCATTCCAGTGACATCTGAGCTGTGTCTAATACAGGAGTTTCGCCTCTGGAGACATTTCTAATGGGTGGTTTCCTGTTTTGTGTCAGAAATGTTTGGTGCTGGTTCTCAGGGTGGTGACTTATCACTTTGTACCATTTCTTTTCACAATATTTATGTTATTTCCATTCTAATACCACCTAGCTGTACCTCCAGTCTCTCTGTGTAGTGAGGATGTCTCCTTGCTTTGCGTCCTTGGCTAATTGCATTATTGTGTTCCTAATTTTTGTTCCAAGGTCACTTAGGAAAATGTTAAAGAGCAGCAGATCCAAGGACAGACCTTAAGGAATTCCACTAATGGCTCCCCCAACACAAACCTCTGTCATTTTTCATACAGCCAATGCCAGTTTTTCTGCGAATCGGTGTCCTTCCTTGCCTCTTCTATAATTCTGCATGAGGCACTGTATCAGGTATTTCACTGAAGTCCAGCTGGATTAGATCTGCTGCATGTCTCTTGTCTAGAAAATCAGCTATCAAAGAAAAATACCAAATTAGTCTTCATTTCAGCTTATTCAATTAGTTCAGTTCAGTGACTAGTTCATTAAGAACTGAGAAACTGCATATGAGCTGAGAAAGCGGGAAAACTTGTCCTTTTTCTTCTGATCTGTGAATAAAAATCAGCTGCAAGAGGATGAGATCTTCTGGCTTTAATGTGCTGGAGAACAGAGGGCTATGAAGCACTTGGTTCAGTTCACCCAAATTAGTTACTTCACTTGCTTAACAAAACTGTTTTAAATGTAAAACATGTTTTGGTAATCGCGTTTTTTTCCTGCTTTCTCCATATTTATCGTGGTGGTTATTGGTTGAATGAAGCCGAGTTCCAGGTGCTGTTTTCCTGCATTTTGATTGCAGTTCAATATGCATGTGAATGTACCTTGACACAAGTCACAATTAAAGTCTCATCTCGGAATCCAGAAGCGTCACTCAAACCTTCTGATAGATCAAATGCAAATAACAAGGATGTAATTGTTGAAAGGAAGGTGTAAAATGCAACCTGCCTCCCTGCTTGGTGTTAGGGGGATGTCTGCTGTCGGTCCATTCAAGTTCTTACCTGTGACGGTCAGCCCTTCTGTGTGAAAACACAAAATGTGAATGCGAAATGAAGCTCCAATTAATGAGTTAAAAAACAGATTTCCAGCCTGCTGATTTGAAACGTGATTAATATTGGTGATGCTGATAAATTCTGGTTTAAATCAGTCCCCCTGCGTAAGATAGAGCTGCAGACCAGGAGCACTAGGGTGAAACCTTGCCTTGTTGTTCCACAGGGACCTTGTGCCTCTGCCTGGCCTCCTCGGAGGAGCCAACCACTGATGGCCTCACGTCGACGTCCCTGCTGGAGTTTGCCGCGATGTCCCACCTGGAGGCTGTCGGTTCCCACGAGCAAACCAGCCCAGAGCCCGCGGAGCCTGATCTCGCCCCTGGCTCTCTGCACGCTGCCCCGGGATCAGGCTTTGCCAGCGAGGAGAACGAGGAGTCCAGGATCCTGCAGCCCCCGCAGTACTTCTGGGAGGATGGAGGAGAGCTCAACGACTCCAGCCTGGATTTGGGGTCGCCAACAGGTGGGTTATTTTTACCCCATTTCTTCCTCCCTGCTCTGCAGGGGCTCTGGGGAGGCAGAAGGATGCAGGACTCTTGTCTTCCCGCTTCGACACAACTCTTGCTAAGAGGGCCTGAGATTAAACGTCAGCTCTATTTTCTCACCTCAGTGCCTGATGTGTCCCTGGTGAACCCTGAGCAAGCACAGGCTTTAGAAAGCAAGTTACAGCTGAGCTTTTATTCCTGAGCTGCTATGAGCTGGGAAAAGTATTGCCTCTACCCAGTTTCCCATTGCCTTTTGCCCTTCTTTCTCTCTGTCCTTCCTTCTTTCATGCTCTCTTCTCTCTCCCATCTTTCTGTTGCTGTCAGTTAAGCACAACCCAAACGTCTCAACACTTTGGCTTGGAGATCAAGGCCATCTTGGCATCCGAGTCAAAGCTGGGCCAAATCCTGAATTCCTCACACTGTGGCATCAGGGGGGATTCGGCACAAGAGAAGGCAGCAGGTTTCCTCCCTGGGGCAGCTGCCCTGTTGCCTGCTCCTTGGGGAGCCACGGTAAAATTTGTTTCGTTAACATTTGAGCTTGCTTTCCTTTGAGGAGTGTTCTTTGAGACCACTGAGTCCCCTCAAAAAACCCTTTATTCGTTTTGAGATGCTCTGAGAGGTGGATGGGAGGAAGGAGGAGGAGCGTTGCAGGGTTTCCAGTAGCTTAGGGGATTATTTGACGTGCTCCTGCTCTTAAGTGTCATGTGGAGCATGTATTAAGTGTTACCCAGGGCCCAGGCATCAGCCTTATCCCTTCTCCCTTACCCGGTATTGCTGCCTCCCTCTCAGCAGACCTGAGGTCTGCAATTAGAAAGCTCAAGGCTTGTTTTATCTCCATTTCTCTTTCTGTGACCTTAACAAAGACCCGTGCTCGGACTGGGCTGAGGGCTGCCCACTGGGGCACAGCACACGCTGTGCAGGCCAAGGGCCATCCCAGCTTAAGTCTCCAAAGCCCTTTGCTCGCTAATAGTGCTGCAAAACCCATCTGCCCTTTGGCTTGTGTGGCCCCTGGGGCAGTTGCTGGCTTGGCCATGGGGGAGCTGCTCAGATGCCACCTCCACAGCGACGCTGGGGGCGGGTGGCACACATTCCCAGCAGCGCATCCCTGGGACGCGCCGCTGCTGAGCCGCTCCCGGGCGCTGGCAGCGTGCTCAGCGCCGCTTTTATTTGTGTGCCAGCAGGCACCTGCGTGCACTCGCGGCTGGGGACGTGACTTGGAGGACAGCGTGTGCTTGTGCATTGAGAGCGAGATGCGCTGGGTACCCAACCCGGCCTCGCCTCCTGCACGTGCCCGGCCGCGCATCCCTGGGACGCGCCGCTGCTGAGCCGCTCCCGGGCGCTGGCAGCGTGCTCAGCGCCGCTTTTATTTGTGTGCCAGCAGGCACCTGCGTGCACTCGCGGCTGGGGACGTGACTTGGAGGACAGCGTGTGCTTGTGCATTGAGAGCGAGATGCGCTGGGTACCCAACCCGGCCTCGCCTCCTGCACGTGCCCGGCCCCATTTATATGCACCACACGCGCCGCTCTCCTTCCGTTCTCCCTGCAGCGCTTTCCTGCATGAGCAGATGTGCTTTTTCAGCTGTCCTTTACGCCTACCCTGCCCTATCCACTGCCCAGCTTGTCACTTCTGGGCTTCCCAGCGCCGTTTTTATCCCCTGGCCGTTGCTGTGTCCAGAGCTCGTGCCTTGGTGGCATTTCAGAACCTTGATGAATAGAGCAGTTTGAATTATTCAAGAGCTGGGAGCACATTTCTACTTAAAAATTAATTAGAAACCTGCTGTGTGTCATTTTACAATAAAGGATATTGTAATAGCATCCCTAAATTGGGCGGTCTTCTGTCGTGCAAAGCCTATGCGTGAGATGCACACAACCGATGGGTTTTCCGTGCTGCGTGTGTGGCAGATGCCATGTGATACCTCTTGGAACTGTGTGATGGCATCTGTTAGGTTACTTTCAACCTATAAATCCATTGAACAGTTTCAAACAGCTGCTGTTTAAGAAAAAAGATAAAGTTTATGGTCCAAGTTTTCATTCTGTGGGGTTTGTCTCTGAATAATGGTGAAGTGGAGCCTGACAGTGTTGGTAACCCTGTCCCAGGCACGGATTTGAGACCCTGTATCAGTGAAGGCACGAAACAGGATTGGATTGTTACACTACTGAAGAGAGAAAATCCCCTGCTCTGAAGGGAGACCTGTGCTGCCTTCTTTCTGTGTGTGGTGTAGATATATTGGCCCTGAAATTTGTGGTCTTGTTGCAGATAGTCCTGATCTCCTGGGATATCAAAGCTGTGTTAGTCATCTCTTTTTTTTTTTTTGTTCCTTTTATGTCCTTCTCAAGTCTGTGTGGGGAGACTCCTCTGCCTTTGTGTGACTTTGAGGCTGCAAGAGATAAAAAATAATAACAATCCGCAGCTGCTGCTCTCTTTTTTTTTTTTTTAAGTGCACTCGAACAATCTTTAAAAATATTTCTGGAAAGCACGTGGCATCGAGGGCCACCTGTTAGGCCATTAGAAAGTGAGACAAACTCCTGCTGGCAGAGCACAGCGCAGCCTGGGGCTCCCATTCTCCCGAATAATGTGCTTTTGCTGATTTCTGGTACAGAGCAGTGGATCTGTATTGACATCGGTGAGCACCAGCCTGCGGAAGGACCCTGAGGTTTGTCCTGTTCTGTCTTGAGCGTGCACAGAAATGCACGTTTGTGTGCTCACCCATGCACAGCTGCTACCCACTGGAGCTGCATGGAGGAGATGGATTCGGTCTGGTGGGAACGTGGATGCTGTATCCATAAAGAAAGCGGCAGCAGTGACTCGTACTTCAGGCAAGAGGCGAGTCAGTGGAGCTGTGAGCCTGGTACTTCTGCATCCCACTGCCTTCAGGCTGCCCGGGCACCCAGAAGCTCCTCAGGTTGTAGTTTGGGTGCTTTGGTTCACCTTTGGCATCGAATTGGTGTGAGCCACACATGAGTGTACCCACAGGGACTCGCATCTGGTACTTCTTGTCCTCCTTTCCCTTCTTCCCACCTCCCCCATCTTCTCTGGCCTGGAGGCTCCCGCAGCGTTCCCTACTGTCACGTTGGATTTCCTGGGCAACAGATGCAACACCTCTGGTAGCTGTAGGGGTGAAAGATGGGAGTTGTTAGGGCTGCAGGTCTCCGAGTCCCTGATTTTTAGTGAGAGTTACACGGTGGCATATCCATCCTGGACTGCACCTCTGCTGTTCTCCTTTGGCTTGGTCAGAACACAGGGACTGCTCTTCGAGCTCCCGGGTTTGCCTTTGAAGCCCAAGGCATGATGATGCTGGGAGCTATCAAATCCAGTCTTAAAGGTTGGTGATTCACTAGGATGGCATGTGGCACTTTGAGGGGGGAGCTGTAATCTTTTAATTATTCATAGTAATTAGCAGAAGGGATTCCCAGGAGAGTTAGGATGAGGGGGTAGCAGGACAGGCGAGATAGGAGAACTGTATTCAAAGAAAAGTAAGTTTTCTGACCACCTAACGGGATGAAATATCTTCTGTCCCCAACTCCTTCTGATAGTGTGATTCACTTCCATGATGAATTACTTACCTCTGGCCAGAGAGCTCTCAGTCTCTCCCAGCCTTCCTGAAATCTGCTGCCTCTCCATCCAGACTGACGGCAAATCTGCAGCTCTTAATACCATCTTCAACCCGCGCATTAACAAGATGAAGCACCTGGTAAAGGCAGGCTACGTAAGCAGCTTAGTGCTGAGCAGCCCCTGCCTGAGCTCAGCTCCCCTGTTGGTGCCCTGGTTTAGTGCACAGGGACACGTTGGGTGATCTGAGCCACCTCAGCCAAGGCACTGCTGGCAAAGGCTGACCCATGATAAAGAGGGTTTCTCTGTGCACAGTGTTATTCTGGTGTGGTTATCCCCAACTGACTCCGTGTTTGGGTGAGAGTGGCTTATTCCAGCCTTATTGCAGGTCAGCCAGTGAGCGGGAAAAAGGTGTGGAGCTGTTTGGGATCTGCTGTGGTGCCCAGTCGCTACCTGAAGCAAATTCCAAGCATAATGAGCCCTGACCACATTGCTACCCTTGGTCTCTCTTTTAATGATGATGTCTTTTGTGTATTGGACCTGTATTGGAATCACAGACAGTGGCCTAGCTCTTCTGGAAGATTAGGATATTAGCCCCAAGTGGCTCAAATCCAGCTCCATTAATTGCATTTTGCCTCCTTGAAATCCCCCTGCAGTTTCAATCCGATGGAGTATGCTGTTTTGCAGTAAGCCTTGCTGCTCTGTGCTGCAAAACAGCGAGCAGATCTCACCTCAGACCTGGCTGCGTTTTAAGGAGGGAGCAGAGGGCACCTTGCACTTCCCAAAGTTGGGAATTTAGCGTGAATGGTGCTGTCAGACTGTGATGTTGTGGGAGCCCGGGGATGTTATTGTCTTTATTACAGTGCCTTCTAGTTATCGGTAATTCAATCACTGGTTAACATGATCTTCCAGTTTAATCCAATAAAGACCTTATGGTCAGGTTGTGTGTACTGAACACAGTGAGGGTCACCCTTTTCCTGAGCTGTCACGGTTGCTTTAAAACAGCTCATTGTGGCAAAGACAGGGCGGGGAGCCTCACAGGGCAGTAACTGAGACTGGTGCTTCTGAATGAAGGAGAAGGAGAAATGTCACGAATTAAATGTCTGGGGGGAATCGTGCTTGGGCACAGCGCCGAGCCTCGGCCCATCTGGTGTCAGGGAAGTTTCTGTATCGATTGCAGAGGAAGCAGGACATGGCCTCAGTGGTGGCTCTTGCAGTGGAGCTTGTGTTCGCCTCTCCCAGGGCAAATCATCTCCCCAGGCAAAGGGAATGACCCATTTGGCTCAGACCTGGGTCTGCTGGGAGATGCAGGGGGCAGGAGGGCTGTGCGAGATGGTTTCTTGAGAGAAGAGTGCCTGAGGGCCTTTGCAAGAGAGCTCGGGAGGGAAGTTTGGGAGGGGGAGTGGTTAGGGGAGGCGAAGAATGCTGCAGGCTGCAATGTGAGTAATGTTGCTACTGATGAGAAGCATCAAGGGGTGCAGTTAAAGATGTACTGGAAAGGAAGTGGGGTGAAGGTATGGAGTTTCATATTGGTGAACCAGCCTCCCAAGGGGATGCTGTGACTGAGCAGCTCGGGGGGAGTGAAATGCTGTGGAGCTGTGGCTGCCTGCTGTGCTCATCTGGTCCATCCCTGCTTGGCCAGAGGTGCTGGGCCAGTTTTGTGGCTTCAGGGAGCAGTTCTGAGCTGTCCCCACTCTGTGATCAGGCTGGCTTCATCGTGACCTGGCTGCTCTTGTGTGTGGCTAGAAGGGGTTGTGTGGCACATATGCCACCTCTGTGCGTGGCCACAAGTTCCCCTTGTGCTCCAGCCTACTGCTGATCTTGGTGGGAGAGCAACAGAGCAGACCATAGCAGGGCTGATGGTGTGTGCAGTTCCTACATCCTCCCTTCTCTTTAGCAGCACTCTGCTTCCTCGCCGAAATTATATGAGCTGATAAATGACCCTGATGAATCTGGCATTGCAACCAGGTCCGTAATACACATCTGCTTTATCAGAAGACCCTGCCCCACTTCTGCAGCAGGAGCACGGGGCGCCCTGTTGTAGACAACCAGGTGGGTTGCAGGCTCTAGAGGACCACTCGCTGAAGGGAAGCTGTTAGTGGGATGCTGGAAGGAGCTGCTAAAAAAGGGAGATCTCTTTGAGTTCCCTTAGGGCTGGGGGTAAGGGGAATCGAAGGAAATACTAAGAAGACTCCATTGGGAAGCTCTTAGGTCTGCATTGCACAGAGTGACAGAAACCAGCTTGTCTGGAAGGAGCCTTGGGAAGAAGATGCTGGGACCAGCTTAGTGGCTGGGGTCATACCAAGGAGATGGACAGGGTGCAGAAATTCCTTCAGATTGTAGAAGAGGGATGAAAACTAAAAGAGGTGCCTTAAAGAGCCCTGATACGGAGAACTAGGCAGGTTCCCTTGGTAGTGAGGCAGTAGGAGGTGATTCCAGATAAGGACTTGGTGTTGAGCTGGAATATCTGGAAGGAAGGGTTGGCTCACTATCCCCAAACCTCTGAACATGGAGAGTGATTGAACCTCTTTGAAAAGTGGGTTGTACAGAGACCTCCTTGCTTTAAGGAGAACAAACCAGCACAACTCTGACCAAAATGCCTTGAATTTCACTGTTTTCCATGCAAATCTGAAGAACAAGATTTGAGGGGAGTTGAGGTTATAATCAGTGGGGTCCTATGAACCATACAGGGGTCCCAGCTTGGCATGCAGGATAGTGGAGAGACTGATGGGAATCAGGGATGGTAACTCAATGAGCAGTGAGTGTGAGGATTCCTGTGTCTGCTCCTGCTTCCATGATCTGTCAGCCCAGAGAGGCAGCACAAGTTTCAGTCTTGGGCTGCCTGGTGAGACGGAAACCTCCTGGGAGAGAGTGGGATGGGCTTTCCATCACCCAGGAGAGATGGCGGAGGCGGAAATCCCTCCAGAGCCCTTGGATCTTGGCAGTGGAGAGGCGGTGTGGCTGTGCATTCCCCCGCAGAGGTACGCTCATCTGTGCCTGAGCACCTGAAGGAAAGGTCGAGTGTGTGACTTCAGCTGACAGCCAGCAGCGTTTCTGGCTCCCCTGGGGCAAACCTCACGCTGCCTTTTCCCGGTTTGTTTTTCTGCTGTGCCCATCTGCCATTTGTGCTTCCCTCCAGGTGGGAAGAGAGGAGGTACAGAGGAGCAGAGAATAGCTGAGAGCGTCTTTAGGCAAAGGAGACGGCAGATTGGATCACTGATCCTTGAAAATAACATCTCATTGACGGGGCCTTGTTTTAAGGGACAAAACCCTTAGTTTTCACCCACACCATGTCAGGGTGGGCATGGTTCCTG